GATAGATAGATAGATAGATAGATGATAGATAGATAGATAGATAGATAGATAGATAGATAGATAGATAGATAGATAGATAGATAGATAGATGTAATGCTGAATAATTAAAACCTGAGTGATGAATGAGTAGCAGTAGTAGATAACCCTTGTGCCTCGTTACTGCTGCTTATCCTTACACTGTGGTTTCCACACTCCTCTCCTTCATTAGTGAGTCAGCTACATTACATAACCATTACAAAATCTTATGTGTTCCCTCCACCCTGCTGTCAAAGAGAAACAACTCTAAGCTTGTTCTGTGGTTCATCGTCCTTGCACCAAGGACGTAAAGCATAAAGCAGGGCTCCCATTTCAGCAAAATGATGCACCAATGCGAAAAGAGTTGATTTGATGGATAGATGTTCGAGGGAACCAGCATTATATTAATCTCTGCTGCAAACAGCTGATGGATTGCTGTTGTACGGGTGTGTTGACTAGATTTTATTGGAAAAAATACCAGCATATCCTCCCCTCAGGAGGCAGCTCTGGACTGGAATAAACATTTTTAATCTTATTTTTTGTAGAATCATCATAATTCAGTGTTTCTGAGGCTTAGGCTTTTGATCCCTTTTCATTACTATGGGACCAGGATGGAGGACACCGTAGTAAACACGTTTCCTGACAGCACTGTCGCTCTTCAGCTAGATGTACAGTAGGTCAGTGTCAGCATGATGTCCATGTTGATAAAATGAAGGATTAAAAAAGAGTTGCACACATTTTATGATGATGGGAAGCCTTTAGCATCATCATGTGTTTTCTTTTACCTGGGGGAAAATTCACAAAGAAATTAAAATTTTAGGTAATTTTTGAGCTGTACTTTCAGGCCTAATTTTGGTTTGTTTCTAAAAAATATGAAATTGAGTTTTTTTTTTTTTAAAGTGTCACTTTCCTTCCATTTTTTGTTCAGCTTTGAATGAGCTTCACTTTGTGCGGATTTATCACATAGAAACAACTAATATATACGAGATTGTGGTGAAATATAAATAGTTTTACAAAACAGTGCATCAAATAAAAAGATTTAACTGTTTGGTTTGACGGTTGTTTATTTCTCAACCCAAGGACACCCTCGGTGGACGTTTTGATGCCTCCCAGGCACTGGTTGGGGAGCTATCCCAGTTCAACTTGTGGGACCGGGTTCTGAAACCCGCTGAAGTGGCCGCCCTCGCCGACTGCAGCTCCTCAGCGCTCGGCAACATCGCCCCCTGGACCGATCAGGATGTAGACGTCTACGGCGGTGCCACCAAGGAGTCTCTGGATCCCTGCCATGCGGCCCAGAGATCCGGTCCCTCCGACCCCAAACAGTGAAAAAAAATCACAAGGAGGAACCGGCCAATCGGGGCTTTGTTAGATGGTCTATTTAGGAGTCGATTCAGATGTTTAAAGGTGGATCAAACTGGAGTTAAGACTATATTTGTTTTAAGGCAGACAGGGAACTTGCAGATCAGCTTGCAGAGTGTGCTACAAAGCTGTAAAGAGTGGTGTATCTGTTTTGTTGTTTGTGTTGGTGTACACGCACATGTGTTTACTTCTGCAGTGAGATACAGCGACTTCAGTCACAGAATCACTTAAGGCAGCATAGTGGATCAGCTTCCGGCCTTTACAGCGTCAGTGAGGATGCTTCTTATAGAGAAATAATATCTCCACTCATTTAACCTTACAAGATTCCATAGGCAGAGGATTTCAAGGCTTTGTATTTGGTTTTGTAAAGAAGCTGCAGTCATGAGATATCTAAGGTTTTTTATAAGTTTACATCACAGTGACACAGCGTTCTGTCTACTCATCATGTGTAAAGTTGGTCCTTCAAAACGCTTCAAATGAAACCTAAGATGCTCTTGTGCTATTATTGACTTTTCACTCTGTTTTTTTTTTTTTACTCTGTATGTTTTTGTTGAGTAACTGTGATTTTAAGTTTTCTATAAAGCACAACTTGATGTGCCAGTGTAGTGTCCTATGGGTCATGTTGCTCTGTTCTAGTCTGCTCTGCTGTTAGCCTGTCCTATACTTCACTTTCCCACAATTGAGGTGGGAAATTAAAATTTGCTGCTGCTTAGTGCAGATGTGTCTTTTGACTTCTAAAATAAACACACTGTTTCCCAAGCTGCTTAGCAGACACAAGCATTATGATGTGTTTGATAAAACGACAATAGTGTTGAATGTAAACCAGATTAAATAAGTATGTCTGCATGAGTGTTTGCTGTTTGTAAAAAAAAAAACAAAAAAACATCTATAATGAAAATGTTCACAGATTTCACATATCTGAAAATTACAAACTTGTAATGGCGGATTGATTCTCCTGTCAAAAAGAAATCTGATGTCACGGTGCAACAGAATCTGTAGTCATCTAACAAATGAAACCTCATGCTTTTATCTAACAGAAAGAGACAAGCAAATAAACAGAAGAGATGCTTTTTGAGATGCTCTATCCTGCTGCCTCCTGTTGTGTCTGAGTTTGTCAACTATTCCTCACTTACTTCACACTGGGGTATTTCATCTAAAAGCATCCCAAAAAAGTATTTGACACATTTCTGCAGATTTTTTCCTATTTTGGTAAAAGATGCATTTTTCAAATATTGGGTTTATTTTTTAAGAGAAAGAGAAAGATTGCTGCCAGACTTTGGAGCCTGTTTGACAGCATGAAGTAGGCTTTAAAAAGATATCAAGCATTGTTCTGAAAAAACTAAGACAGGAGTCAACACGTGGCAAAATGGATTGAAAGGTGATCCAGAGAGCTCTAAGCAAAAACCACTGCTCACCACAAAGGCCTGTTTCACATCTGGCAAAAAAAAAAAAAAAAAACACCATTATGATCCTCAAGAATCTTGGGAGAATATTGTTTTTACTGATTAGACGAATAGGGGGCCATTTTGGAAGATTCAGTCCAATTATAGATGCCATTTTGCCATAAGACTGCATTGTAGAAAAGTTTCAGAACCTCCTAGTACTGGTTTTAGGAACTTCTTGGTTCAAATCCCACAGCCTGTCGCTCTGGGTCACTGAACAGAACCCCCAGATTACTTCCCGGCACTTTAAGCTGCTCCCTCTGGAGCAGTGGGCAGAGGTCAACCCAGAGGTCCCATCTCATCGTAATGTAACCAATAAAGTTGATTATCTTTATCCTTGTCATCCTTATCCATTACTTAATATATTAATTTATAATGAAAACCATATGACCATGTCAGGCTATCTGATGTTGAATTCATAGCTAACAGCTTCTTCAGTTATATCTAGTTATAATTCTTAGACACCCATCTGTTACCAAAGTAAAGCTGTTGGTGAAATTATGCCTATTATTGATCATTCAATTTAAAATTGAATGTACTAAATTAGGATTTCAGTGACTGAAATGGCAAAAAATTCTGAATTTACAAATCAATTCTGTATAACTTATTATATTTTACAAATTT